ATTGGTAAAATATTCCAAACAAATTATAAACCAATTTGATGTTTATTTCCCTGAAAAAAGCCACACGTGCAAAAGCCTCATAAACAAAAAATAAAACAAGTAGAAACGCTATAGTCGATTGCCTCGACTACCAGATACCCGTTTCTCTGGTTCAAATTTCAATTAAAATACATTTTCAGGGTATTTCTATTAGAGCGGCACACACGCCACCTAGCGAAGGGTATCAATACCACCGACTATTGCAAACCCTTTTTAAGATAGTTATTTATAAACATAAAAAAAATATTGCGATTGGTATGATTCTCAGCATTTAGATGGGTATTAATCAATAAACTCAGTTTATATTTACACTTAAACATAATCTTTGAAAATGTGGGCGCCAGACAGACTTTAGCGTTATCAGCATTAGAGTGGGCGTGAAACTGCTGAAACAAACTTGCGGTACTTAAGAATCCCGAGAATCTGTATGCTTGATCCCAACTTATAGCTTTTATAGTTTTCGTGATCTCAGAGTTCATGCGGACAGACGTACGGACGGACGGACAGACGTACGGACGGACAGAAGTACGGACGGACCTCGTTAAACCGAATCGGATAGTGATTTTGATCAAGAATATATGTACTTTATAGGGTTTGAAACGCATCCTTGTAACTGTTACATACTTTTCGACGAATACAATATTCCCTTTTACTCTACGAGTCACGGGCATTACAATTCCAAGTGATTCAGAGAGGCAGACGCTAGAAGCTTTTAAAGCACACTCGCACTGAGGTAATCTCACGCTTTTGGAGCAGCTGAACTACTTTCGGCTGTTGGAGAGTTGTCAACTGGTTTGGGGCAGATCCCAGACAAGATTCCCGGGAGACTGGATGAGTTGGCGTTGCCAGGCGGGCATCGCCTTCGCCACTCCGGGCACTCTTATCAAGGTCTGGTCGGCTGTGCCGCTTTGCCCTTATCAGAGTCTGGACCCTCGGCGGTTGTCATTTCGTTTGGATTTCATTGCTTTTTGTTTTTGGCCTTGCCGCGGCGTCCAATTAAAAAGCTGAACATATGATTTCAGCGTCGGTGACTGGCCTCTTTAGTCGCTGCTAAAACATTTTAGTGACCACCCGCTCAATCGTCTAGACTGGCTCGGAGTTTTCCCGCGCACTTCAGCCGCGCGGCAGGAGTGTGGCGTATTCTCAAGTGTTCAATTGATTAGGGCACCTCGTCATAGGCAGAACCAGAACCAAATTGACAAGTAAAGACCTCAGTCTGAACAAAACAGCAAAACGCTTTCGATTTTAAATTCTGCTCACCGTCTGACCGTCTGCCACCGTTTCTGCTGATAGTAGTTTTTAAAAAATTTCCGTTACATCATTTTGTGCGAGTGGGAGGAAGGCAGCGCAGCGTTACACCCCATCGCAAGGGCAGTGATTATCTGCCCGCTCTTCTAGATGTCGACGACAACGGAGCGACGACAAAGGCAAATGGAAAATTTTATGTTTATTTATAAGCAACAACTTCATCCATTTCATCAGCAAACTTTTTCTTGTTGTCCTCCAGTTAGTCTAGTACTTTAATCTTCGCAATTATCTATATGCCATTATAGAATAATCCTTTTAAAGGGAGGTCTAACAGCTATTCACACCTCATATTTAAATCTGCGCATATTACGTTTCTATTTTCATCGTCAACAAATATTTTAAGTGCCTGAACACGACTATACTAAAATTCAATTAATTTGCAAGATTAATCTTTAGCCTTGTTTTGGTTGTTTTCATATCTCCCAAATCGTAGTATCAAGGTACATCGACGTCCAACACTTTCGGAAATTCCCAGGCAGACAGCGTTTTTATCAATTCATACCTGTCTGTGGAAAAATTCTGCCGTTTATAGGGGTCTTTCTAAAAATAAACCTACTCTATATTATCAAAATACTCTCCAGAAAGAAGGAGTAAACCAAAAAAATTACCTGTACTGGCTAATTCTACAAAGCATTGAGGGCATACAAATTGTTTCTTCAGATCGGTGGTGATAAGGATTTTATAGACTGACCAAAAACAATAATATATCTAGTTTTATAGATATAACTAATTAGTTCAACAACACATATATAAATTTTAATTTTTAATAACATTGAAGTCGAACGCTTACTTAAAGCTAAATTCCGACATGTCCTTACATGTTAGTTCTTATTAAGTCTTAAAAAAAGTCAAAAAGCCTAGTACATTAACCGCGATTTTTCAAGCATATGACTGAAATACGCAATTTCAAATCGTCTTAGATTAAAATTTAATTACAATAGAAAAATGGTGAATACTATTTTTATGACGATAGGTATATTGCCTGCGATACTACCAAATTAAACCTAACAGGTATGTACATTTAAACTTTTAGAACTGATGTACCCTATGGCGGGAAATCAAAGTATATTCACTCTCAGTGCCCGTCAAGCTTACTCACTTTACGGTATTTTTCGTGCCTATATGTGTACAGGATTTAACTGAGATTTAAGAACCGTTTGCTTAGTTGTACAATTGTTAGCTACGTCACAACTCTCCAGATAATTGTTAGGAAGAGCCACTGACAAAATCACACGTGTTGCTAACAACTCTTGTCATCTCTGGGATACTCGCTATCTCTATCTATCTCTCCCTAGAATCTTATCACTTCGTTTTTTTTTATGTATTCCATACTAAACAGTGTTTGTGTGTTTTCCATTTTTGCAGTCATACAAAAGCGCAGAACCCCGGTGTGTCAATTCGCGTCGCCGCTGGACGTTGACATACATAGTAATCCTCAAGTAAGTACCACTAGAAATAAGAAATGACAGCTGACAAGTGAACGTCCTGTTAAATAATTCTAAAACCTTGACACATTCGACAATAGTTGCAACAAAAACTTCAAAATTATAGGTTTAGTGATTATCTATTATGAAAGTATATGTGCTAGATCGTTTCGATTGTGTAATAGTCAAGGCCTTTTATAAAAAAGTGTTGTGATTTTTTATTTTGTTATATTATGAAACGCAAAAAAGAGTCAGAGGTACACTCAAAAGAGTGTTTGGCCTGAATTTTACAATTTTAAAGTGAATAACGTTATTTTTAATTAGAAAATTTTTGTTTGGTAATAGGAATTAACATTTATGAAATTGTAGGTGCCAGATCATTTTTGTGATTTTTAATAAGCTTAATTTAATGTCATTTTCTTATTACAAAATGCCGAAAACGGTTGGAGATACATTAAATAGTGCTTGCCCCGAATTTTAGAAATTTTAAGTCAATAACGTTTTTTAAATAAAAAATAAAATGATTTAGGTATTGTGACTATATAGTGATAAACATTTATGAAAGTGTATGTCCTAGATCGTTTCGATTGTGTAATAGCTATGTTGTTTTTTAATAAATAGTTCTGACACTTAATTAGCCTTAAAAAAGTTTTGGAGGTACACCCAAAAAGTGTTTTAAATTCACCGTTTTTTCTTCATTTGAAAAAAAATTCTTTGGGAGTTTGTCTTTTTATCTAACCTTTAAAAAATCCGTCATTAAATCTAAATTTTAAAGCGAATGCTTTTTTCGATATATCTTTGTTAACAATTTCAATATTTTAAAATCCTAACCATTATTTCCTTTTAAATTATATCAGGGTGTTTTGCTTAAGGTGGTCGTAAATAGGTTTGATAATCATTTTTGTTTTAAGATTTAATCAGAGATTATTCCGCCTCACTTTACTACTTAGTCATTGGTTTAATAATTCGACCACTCGAAATTCAATCGATCAGTAAACATCGTACCACCCATCCATGCGCATCAAAAACGTGGAAATACCTCCGAGAAGTGGCGCACGCCTGGATTGGTTGACAGAGATATCCTCATTTAGCTCTATCGCCAAAAAAAATGAAAACACTTCAGTGCTGAAAAGGAAGGAATCACTCGAATACCGCGTGGACGTCGCGCGATCGTCGTGCGCCATTGAATACCAGGGTGAGATACGGCTTGGACCCCTGGGATTGCCGTGGTCCTACCATCTTCTTCCCGCCGGACTCTCCGGCCGCACGTGATAAGCGTTGTGTGACTTTTTTGCGATGGTATTTTTAGCTGTCATTAACCTATTGGCGGGGCACTTTTATTTATAGACTCAGATTCAATTTAAGTACCATAATGTATAATCGGTGTTTTCACTTATCGTTTGGTTACTTTCGCTGAAATTTATACAGTTTTAATACTTGGTACTTGTAGATTACTAAGTATTTTTAGATTAGTTTTAACGGTTGTAATAAAAAATATTAGTCTGTTACTGTAGTCAGGTTAATAAGAATTACCCTATTGTAAACTAAATGATGGTGAATTAAAATCGGCTTATAGAAAAATGCTGCAAGGAAACGAAAAACAACAAAATCTGTATAAACAATTTTTTTTTTTAATAGTTCTCATAACGCACAAATCGATAGCTTGTAAAAAGTTCACATCAAAAGAACTTTGTCTTAATGTTTCATAAACTTGTGAAGGAACATGTGCAAAATGGGGTATGAGCAAAGAATTGTTGACAAACATATTTTTGTTCAAACTTCTGTATGCCGCCTTCTTAACAAACAAATTTTGGTACACTTGTTCGTAAAAACTATTGTGTTTCTGTGCAATATACGATGTGTGTGTCAACCGAAACTTTTAAACAACGAGTATCTACGAAAAGGCATACTCGAAATCGGATAAGAAAAAAAGTGAGCAAGGTATAGATCACTTGCTGAGAGTATTACCTGCCTCTCCCGTTATCTCGGCGTGAACGCAGATTACGATTAATCACAATTAAGTTAGAACATACAGTATATATTTGCTTTTGATTAGGAAATTAACAAGGTTCTGTTGTATACACGCTCTCAACTTGCTTTATCTTTCCTTTGTACCCCACACAGACTGTCGTTCTTGAAGGCAAGTACTGGAAACGTCACTCAGCCGTGATCAAAGCTGAATATAGGAAATGGCGCAGAAACTATAGATCGAAGGCCACGGGCTGTTTAACATACGATTCGGTAAGTCATCAAAATTTGTTAATGGTCTTTGTAGTGTTTTCCATTTCCTTGAACTGAACCAAAATCACCATGTACGTAAATATTGCTGTAAATAGCTGTTACAAAAGGGAAAATGAATAAAAATGTGTTCTTTCGGTGCAAAGGGATTTACCTTAAACAAGGTGCTTTTATCCAGGGCAAAAAATCCATAGGCTGTTAGAATGGGCTGCTGTCGAAGGTTCTTCAGTAGGAATTTTTCAATCTACGGATGGATTGTTATTGTGATTTTGTATAAGAAAATATTTGACAATCTCTGTTTACCATTCTATCCAAACCAGTTCCGGTTCTAGGAACTTTAGCCAATATCTTTGCTGTTTTGTTGGCCTGCAAAATAGAGTATTAAAGTAATATCAATAAATTTGGAGTTAAGATTACGATTTTTAGGATGTGTGTTTATTAGATGGACCCATTTCCACAACGAACTCACTTCCACCGTTATGCCATTGGTGCTCAGCATTAGAACCAACATAATCATCCAGGGCGTGTCCCATGTGGAGGAAGTCATGAGCATGTACAAACATTCGTTGGGGCCGAATTTGCCCTCTAAAACGGTGCTGATTAAGTAGAAGGGCCCCGAAGGCGCCATCAGCAGTATCAGTCCCACAATGGGCAGCATGAGCAAGCCGAAGCAATCGTTCAGCTCACCCATGCAAACTTTTAGGATCTTTTGTCTGCCCCTAAGACCAGGAACCAGATGACCCTGGTCCACCTGGCCATTGTAGTGTCTTAAACCGGCGCCCATGATTTGCTTGAGACACACAAAGAACACCAATAGTAAGCAGATAACCGAGAAGGCGTAAATGTAGACCACCATATACATAGTCAGCGGAATCACTGTCAATCCAGAGCGAATGTAACCATGAAGATAGTTGCCGAAGCAGATCACGGTGAGCACTCCGTACAGGATTAGGTTGTTTAGGAACTGGCGGTCTCTGGATTTGCACAGGCATCGTCTATTCAGGCGCAATAAGTGCTGGACCAGATACCTGTGTCGATGGCGCCTCACATACATAATCATGTAGAGCAGGGAAAGCACCAGGCACGTGCTGCCAAAGATGAGGGTCTCGTAAAAGTTTCCCGTCCGGTTGTGAATGCCTATGTGGAAGAGATGTGGCTGTAGGTGGGCAAAGGTGAGGCATCCCGTAGTGGCGGCGAACATCACACCCACGTAAACTAGAGCATAGCGTTCGCTTTGGGGAGTGGCAAGTAGCCTGCAATGCTCCGAATCGAAGTGACAACACATCATGCCCAGGAGGTGCAATAGGCGGAGATACAGTCGAAGGTCCCGGAACACGTTTGACATTCTGCAGTCGAGTTGGACCTTCTCCTGCGAACTAACCAATCCACCCGATGGGTATTCAATTTCATTGTCGATTTACCCGATAGCCAAAAGTCAATATTGTCATTATTCTCAATACTATTAGTGCTATTGTGAAGACCAGGAGCTTATCAAATTAGGCACCACACCTTTCGCTGCCCCTCACTGTGATACACTGACAAAAATCACTCAATATATTTGTGGATATTTTCTTCTATAAAAGCTTAAGGCCATCAACTATAAAAATGGAGTTACATTTTGGTCTTGATCATTTCAAACGACATTCGCAGAGTTAAAAGTTAAGTTTCATCCCTTAAAAAATATATAGCAGGTAATAGAAAGCATTCCGAAAGCATTCCTTCAGGAAATAGGAAGCATTTCTGCAATGTCATTTTCATCATAATGAAAGTCAGAGCGGTTGCACTGAATATTGTCATGATAATGGTTGTTTAAAAATTATGGACTACAAACGAATTGGTTTTTAAGTAAATTCAGGGTAACAAAAATCTAATGTCCAAAAAAATTACTACACTAAAAAATTTTGTTTTATGAATAAGTAAATAATAAGACAGAATTTGATAAAAACAGGTTTGGTATATACATTTTTTTTTCTTAGTTGGTTCTTTTTGTAGTTCATTGAAGTGAGGGCCAAAAGTTACTCACCTCCTTTTGCACATCGTTGATGTCCATTGCCAAAACCAACAAAACCACCCAGGGCACGCTCCAAAAGACGGCAGTCAGCGTCATGAAGGCAAAACGCCAATTCTGCTGATAGCGGCCTTCAAAGATAGTGGATACCAAGTAGAACGGACCCGAGGGGGTTATCAGCAGAATAAATCCAGTAATGGGTAATAGTAACAATCCGAAACAACGATTGATTTCTACATGGCATAACCACACCACCTCGCTGTAATTACGAAAGATTCCATAGAATCCGCGGCATTTTTTTCCGGATTTAAAATTTTTGACAAGTTGTTTATTATGGTGCTTTAAAGTCGAGAGCAGAATACGTTGAAAACCGACAAACAGGACAATCACCTGGCCCAGAATGAGATAGGAAAAGCCGTATTGAATGAGAAAAATAGGAATTGTGGTACCACGAACGCCTGCCTCCCAATAACCATGGGCAAAGTTCAGCATGCAAAAAACAAAAAGGGATAGATGTAGCTTATAGGGAAAACCAAATCTCCCCGCTTCCGTGCGACTCTCAGATATTTGGTTAAACTTCAACATGCACTTCAGCAGGTTGGCAAAGCGATAACGTTGCACATAGAGCTGAATGTAAACCAGCATGGTGACCAAGGAACAAGATCTTATGTTAATTAGGGCATAGCAGTTGCCAGTGTTGTTGTGATTTCCCAAGAAAAAGTGTTGCGGAAAGTAGTAGCTGAAGATGATCAAACAGCAGGATATGCACACCACGCCCATCATATACAACCAGGCACTCTGCTCCTCGGAGGCATTTTCCCGCACTAAGCACTTCTCAAAGTCGATGCTGAACCGCAGGACTCCAAGCCAGCTTAGGGTTCGCAGCTGAATCCTTAACTCTTCAAAAGCGTTGCGCGACATTTGGTATGCGTCAATCAACTGATAACTCATTTTCTAAAGCATATTAATTTGTTGTGTTATCACATATTGCACTTGCCTAATGAAAGCTCATAAGGGACATGGTCGCTAGTCAACCATTAAAAAACCGAACCTTTGCTCATCTTGGTTTGGGTAAAAGCACTTAATGGATTAATTTCTATCATCTCTATTTACCATTTGGTTATTAATTGGCTACCTCTTCGAGCCTACCGTATTGAAATACATATTGAATGGTAAAGGATGTTTGATAATCCGCCTTTCAGATACGCAATTTTTCGTATTTTTGACTAAATATATTCTTGTTTGTCTGAAAAATAAACGTGTGTATGTCGATCTAAACCTCTTATTTTAAATCATGAATTTAAAAAATGGGATCCATTTAAATATTTACACGAAAATATATCACCATCATCAGCATTTTTTAAAAACGTTTTTAAACTTTGCGGTTTTGCTCACCCTTGGTCAAGAAACTAGACCCCAGCTTACCTCTCTGCCCACCACATCGGTGTGCAGTGTCATCAGGATGGCCACTAAAATGGGAAGATTCCAGAGGAGCATTGTGGGCAGCGCATGCCACAGATACTGCCTTTCGACACGGAGTGCGTCGATCCTGAAGATGATTGTTATCAAATAGAAAGGAGCTGCTGGCGCCGAGAATAGTAGGAATGCCATAATTGGTACCAACACCAGACCAAAGTCGGAGCTCAATTGTTGATTGCACACCCAAAGTAGCCGGCTTCGCTGCCGCAGACGAAGGGCACAGAAGGTTTTTGGAAATGTAAGCTTCAATCGGACTATCTTTGTGATCTCTTGATTGTTGAGCAGTAGCAAGCTTGTCGAAATCCGCACTAGGCAATAATGCAAGGCTACAATCAGACCGATCAAAACATAACTGTAGGTGGAAAACGCGGTTAGTAGCACCGTTTGCCACAATTGGAAACCGGAGTGATTAAAAACCCTGGTCTGAAGAAAGCCGGTTAAAAGAACCTGACTAACATAAACAGCGTACATTCTGGCAAATTCTGTGGCATGCCGATTCTTCAGGTCCATGCGATTATGATGCAGTAGCAGCGATATCAGCGATGTTAATCTGCCACGTCGCACATAGAAGTACAGATGAATGAGGCATATCGTTAGGCAGGACATGCCATAATTGGCCACAAAATAGGTATTTCCCACTAACCCATAAACGTCCAACTTGTATTCTTGGGGCTTGGTTATCACATGGCCAAGAGCCACCAGAGACAGGCATTGTGAGCTTAGCAGGCCTATCAAAGATATAATATCATCAGTCCTAGTTGCTTGCAATCTAAAGTCACTATGACAAACGAATGTAATGCAGAGCAAACCGATGCACTTAAGTGTTAAGAGATACACCCGCAACTCGCCACCGAGGGTCATGACGGTATAACACTAACTGACATTCGGAAATAGTAAAGGTTGCGAAGCCTTTTCGGTTTCAACAAATAATCAATATCTATGAGATGTATCTATAGATGTAAAATGTGGGGTCGAACTAACTTCTTCAAATGGATTGTTGAGCAATTAAAAAAACAAAAAGGGATAGATGTAGCTTATAGGGAAAACCAAATGTCCCCGCTTCCGTGCGACTCCCAGATATTTTGTTAAACTGCAACATGGACTTTAGCAGGTTGGCGAAGCGATAGCGTTGCACATAGAGCTGAATGTAAACCAGCATATTGACCATATATTGACCATATTGACCATTGTTGTGATTGCCCAAGAAAAAGTGGTGCGGAAAGTAGTAGCTGAAGATGATCAAACGGCAGGATATGCACACCACGCCCATCATATACAACCAGGAACTCTGCTCCTCGAAGGCATTTTTCCGTACTAAGCACTTTTCAAAGTCGATGCTGAACCGCAGGACTCCAAGCCACCTTAGGACTCGCAGCTGAATCCTTAACTCTTCAAAAGCGATGCGCGACATTTGGTATGCGTCAATTAACTAATAACTCATTTTCTATGGTCGCTAGTCAACCATTAAAAAACCGAACCTTTGCTCATCTTGATTTGGGTAAAACCACTTAATGGATTAATTTCTATCATCTTTATTTACCATTTGGTTATTAATTGGCTACCTTTTCGATCCTATCGTATTGAAAGACATATTGAATGGTAAAATATGTTTAATGATCCGCCTTTCTGTAACGCATTTCTATCGTAATTTTGATAAAATATATTCTTGCTTATGTGAAAAACAAACGTGTGTATGTCGACTCTAACCTCTTTATGTAAATCGTGAATTTGAATAAAGGGATCCATTTAAATATTTACACGAAAATATATTACCATTATCAGAATTTTTTAAAAAAGTCTTTAAACTTTGCGGTTTTGCTCACCCTTGGTCAAGAAATTAGACCCCAGCTTACCTCTCTGCCCACCACATCGGTGTGCAGTGTCATCAGGATGGCCACCAACATGGGAAGATTCCAGAGGAGCGTTGTGGCCAGCGCATGCCACAGATACTGCCTATCGACACGGAGAGCGTCCATCTTAAAAACGATTGTTATCAAAAAGAAGGGAGCAGCTGGCGCCGAGAAGAGTAGGAATGCCATAACTAGTACCAACACCAGACCAAAGTCGGAGCTTAATCGCTGATTGCAAACCCAAAGTAGCCGGCTTCGCTGCATCAAACGAAGGGCACAGAAGGTTTCTGGAAATTTCAGGTTTAATCGGACTGTCTTCGAGATCTCTTGGTTGTATAGAAAAAGCAAGCTGGCCGAGATCCGGACTAGGCAATAATGGAAGGATACAATCAGGCCGATTAGGATGTAACTGTAGGTGGAAAACGCGGTCAGTATCACCGTTTGCCACAATTGGAAACCAGAGTGATTAAAAGCCTTGGTCTGAAGGAAGCCGGCTAAAAGAACCTGACTGACATAAACAGCGTAAATTCTGGCAAATTCTGTGGAATGCCGATTCTTCAGATCCATGCGATTATGATGCAGTAGCAGCGATATCAGCGATGTTAATCTGCCACGTCGCACATAGAAGTACAGATGGATGAGGCATATCGTTAAGCAAGACAAGCCATAATTGGCCACAAAATAGGTATTTCCCACTTGCCCATAAACGTCCAACTTGTATTTTTGGGGCTTGGTTATCACATGGCCAAGGGCCACCAGAGACAGGCATTGTGAGCTTAGCAGGCCTATCAAAGATATAATGTCATCTGTCCTAGTTGATTGCGATCTATAGCCACTTTGATAATCGAATGTAATGCAGAGCAGGCCGATGCACTTAAATGTTAACAAATAGACCCGCAACTCGCCACCGAGGGTCATGACGGAATAACACCAACTGAGAACCGGAAATACTAAAGGTTGCGAAGCCTTTTCGGCTTCAATAAATAATCAATATCTATGAGATGTAGATTGGAGCTATGTAAGATGTGGGGTCAAACTAACTTCTTCAAATGGAACTACGAGCCTGTCTATTCTAGTTATAGGAAATGCTGGAATTATTAACTTTTTATTTATAATATTTAAAATAATTTTCCACACGCATACCATTTATACGCGTACTAAAAAAGTCATTTTTCAAAATATTAATGTCGACTAAACATATATTTATATTTCCCTAAATCATTTAATATAGTTTGTTTATAATCACTTCGCGCAAAATCAGTTCCTAACACAAATCTACACTACGGAACGCATATGCAGTAAAAATTTGAACGACAGTTTTTTTTTTATAGATTAAAAGGGAATTTTTTAAGTCAAAAACTGTTCAAAAGAATTTAAAAAAAGTCAATATGGTTATGGTGAATATACGCATAAAATATAACATAATCATTCAAAAGTTTATGGTCCTTTTTACATACCTCAATGCCGACGCGGTTGCACATGAAACTGGCGGCGCAGGTCATAAAGGTTGGCATAAGCCACAAAATGCTGGTCACAAATTTTAAAACGATCGCTTTGTTGTTTTGAACCACCATGGTTAGATAGATAACGCCAGTTACATCCAGCGAGGCGAACATCCACGACAGCCAGACGATGAAGCCGTAGACCAGGCTGATTTCATTGCTGCAGAGGAGCACCAGGCGATCGTGCAGCTCCAGGCATCCACGCAAACGAAGAAGGAGGGCGTTGCTCTTTTTGAGATCTCCCGATTGCTCGAGAATCTTTGTGATCTGCGACTGATTCCAGATGAGCACCAGGCGCAAGATGTGCACCATGCAAAAGTAGGTGCCCATTGTAAAGCTGGTGACCACATATCGCAAAGGAAATCCCAGCGTGGTGATGACAAAGAACTGCGAGGCACTCGTCAGCCACTCGCATATGCAAGTCCTGATAAAGTTGGCCAGGTAGAGCAGATTGGTGGCGATGATTAGCCACAGCAGGCGTTTGGGTAGCACCAGTCGCTCCTTTGATAGATGCTTTCGGCGATAGAACTCTATTTTCCTCACGATCCGCAGGTGTGGCGACTGCAGCCAAATGAGCCAGGCATTCTGAACGATCAGAATACCAAGGGCAATCACCAAAACCAGCCGGTCATAGTGGTTACCGGTCTGGTTCACGTCACTCCTGAAGCACTTTCGCCAAAACATGACCATGACGGCCAAGCAGCTCACCAAATACGATTGCAAGACGAAGTGCACCACGTAGCAGATGAGACTGCGCCGCAAGAGGAACTTCTTCTTGGTGGGATTATAGTCGATGCAGAATATGCCCAGGTACCGACACAGGCGGTAGTAAGCACTCAGCTCCCCCGGATAGAAGTCGTCCATGGCGAATGAATGTCTAGTGGTAGAATGAACCTAGACCAACTGCTATTCTAGTGGGTAACCAACCATTACTCAGATATTTATTATATACCCTGTACGTAAAATCATCTGGATCCTTAGGGGTAGAATTAGATTATTTTACATTTTATCTATTCATATAAAACTCTTGTTAAAATTTTAAGAACCAACTATTTTACCAAATATTCGTTCTGTGCTTAGATTAATGTAAAAAACTGTTTTTTCCCAAAGTTAGTCGTTTTCTTTCGAATTTTTAGGTATATAATTCAATAGAAAGCTGGTCAAACTCTTTTTGATTACATCAAATCAATCTATATCCTCACTATACATTTAATATTTTATCGAGAACGATATTAATGTAGTAAAGGGTGTCACTGAGGTGGGTCTACAAACTATAACACCTTAGCTTGTTTTCATAAAAAGGACGGTCAAGCGTTAATATCAACTCACCTGATTAAGTACGTCATTAGCGACCAAAGGTAGGCAGAGATAGAAGAGCATTGGCGCCATCCAACAGAGAATCAAGATCAGGTCCACGTTTGTCTGGAATCCCACGGCATCGCTGACATATAGTATTAAAACACACTGCATGACCTGATACAAGAAGAGAAAGAGTAGGACTCCGCCGTAAACTGCAATCAATTCCCGTTGACCAAGCAGCAGGATCTCGTCGTGAGCTCTCAAACAGGCGGCCAGATCAGCCATTGAGATGGTGGTGCCGGACACCAGATTCTCCAGCTGCTCCACTTGGGCCTGCAGAAGCCTTTGCAGAACTAACACCATGCTGGTGTAACAGGTAAACTGGAAGTTGCCCAAAATGCAGCGAGCAACAAATCCCAGCAGGGTTAGAACCCGGCTCAACTGCATGTTTGTTAACCACTGGACTCCAAATTTGGCCACCATGGAAACATAGAGTAGAGTCACCACTAGCCAAATGTAGTACAGCCAACGGGGCTTGGACATTTCCAGTGGCTCGCAATGCAATCGCCTCACCAGCTTCGAAAGACGGTGCAGCAGGATTTCCTGGGATTCTTGCTGCGACCGGAACCAAAAGTTGGCTAGCAGCTGACTCACCGAGGCGGCCAGGATCACAGCACTGTCATATCTGTTCCCGGTCTGGGACTTGGTGTCCATGTAGTACAGGGAGTCGGCAAATGCTGCCACCAGAGAGGACACAAAAAGTCCAATGACCAGGATCTGAGCGACAATCGAAGTCCATGTAGCATGGAGCCAGTAAACTTGTAGCGATTCGGAGAAGTCCAAGTCTGTGAGGCCCAAGAAGCGTTGATAATGTAGAAATGGCACAAGCTTCAGGTTCATTTTTTCAATACGTGCTATTTCCCATGTTCCACTCAACTAACTAACTAACAAATCGTCTAAATATCGAGCGTCGCTATTCCAATTAGGCTAATTGTCGTCAGGTTATGTGCACCGGTATCTTTCAGTTGATAAAGATTATTGCTTTTATAACCAATTACAAGGGGTCCTTTTTGTTTTCAGACCTTGGAAAAAGGCCAAATAAAATAACAATTAAATGGTAATTTTCTTCGAAAATGCTAAGCCCATTTCTTAATCGTAGTACATTTACTTTGTCAATACTTTGTTTAATAAATGGAAATTCTTTTTAAATATATTTATACATAATATCTTTATTTTAAAAATTTATTAATTACCTTTAACTTATTTTACTCCTTCTTACAGAAAAGCGAGTTGGACTTTTTGGAATGGTCGCCGCTGAACGATAGGAACTTGATGCCAGACGACTGGACAACGGACACCTTGTTCTCGGCTATAAATGTACCCTTTCCTTTCCCTGATTCCAGGGAAATTGGTAAGTGATCAATAAAGATTACTTTTATACCATATAATCTTATGGTTTCTTTATTGATTAGCACGCGGCGCTGGCATCGCTGACTTTATACAGCCCAGTTTGGGACCCTTGCAACCGAATTTAGATGACATAGACATCTCCTTCTCAGGTCAGTAGAGAGTATGTACCTTAATACAAGAGCTACATTAACAAGACTTATTCCCATTTCACAGACCTAATTCCCACAACTCGCTTGCCCCCAGTTCCGGAGGAGGGAACAGATGCTGAAATGCTCAAGAACGACGAATATTGTCTGTCAGCGATTGTGGGTGCTCCACACACGCTCTACTGCAATGACAGCATAATGGATGTGGTCAACAGCAGCAATAGTGGCACTGGAAATGTGGACGCAAGCATGCTGGAGCTCAACACACCAATAAGCAACATGTCGTACAATGAGGTGGAGCAACGGTTCGCCGTGGCGCGACAGGTGCAGCAATCCGCAAATGATTCTCAGCTTCTCGGGGATCCGAGCTCAATGTCCGGCAGGATGCACGGTGGGAAGCACTTTGGGGCCGTCGGCGCCAGTGACAACAGGTGTGTGATTAATGGACGCGTGGCCAAGAACACGCAGCGTCCATTCCGACGCGAGCCGCACAACTACGACAAGGCCCAGCCTACCTTGCACCAGACAAACCTCTACCAGCAGATGCTGGCCGAGCAGCAAAAGAACCAGCAGCAGCAACATGTTGTCGGCGGCGTAGTGCTGCAGCCATCTTTTCAGGCACAGCAGCAACAGCAGCAGCAGCAACAACAGCAGCAGCAGCAGCAGCTCACGCAACAGCAACACTTCCCGACACAGCAGACAAACACCTTCAATAACCAAAGCTTCTTGAGCAGCTACACGGACAACTACCAGCAGCAGCAGCATCAGCAGCAACTCAACGTCAAGGTGGAGCCGCTGCATGCCGATGTGCTGTCATTACTAGGCGAGAGTGGATACAACTCTATTGGCTACAAGCCCTATCCGCAGTTCAAGAAGTCTGCCTCGACGGGAACCTTTCTCAATGTTCCCCGGCTGCCGCAGCAACAGCAACAACAGAGTTATCTGCAGCAAGAGCCGCCGCAGATGCAACAGTCGCTGCCTTTGGGTCTGAGTACTCAGCAACTTCTGCAGCTTTCGCGACAGCAGCAAGCTTCAAACACACAGCAACAGCAGCACCAAACCACTGTAGCTAGTCTGTTACAGCAGCAACATCAGCAGCAGCAGCAGCAACAGCAACAGCATCAGCAAACTGCTGTCAGCACAGCCACTTGGGTGTCTCCGAACACCATTTTGCCAAAGGAGATCCATCGCTCCAACAGCTTGCCATTGAACGTGTCGTTGAACAAGCTACCCGATGGCCGGCAGCTTATCCATGAGCAACCCTTTGCAGTGCCCAAATATCATGCCAAGGGCAAGTCGCGGGTGCGCAGCAATTCGATGCACCAGCAGCACACGTCGGTGGTGGCGGCAGCTGGAGCGGGAAGCGCTCCGTTGAGCGCGCACAGCTGCAGCAACCTGCTGGTTACACAGCAAATGCAGCAGGCGACTAGCGATCCTATGCTAAATAGCACCCTAGCCCAGTTGCTCACTTCGAGTAAGTTTTTGGCTTTCCAAAAATCTTTAAAATAGTTATGCAATAGTTATCCAATTTCAGATTCACGTCTCCAAACAGCCGTGGCGAACAGCTCGCCATCGAGTTCATCTTCCGCCAGTGCCATAGTCACCTCTAGCAACAGCAGCAACGTGTCTCCGGCTCTATATGCTAATGTCACAACGCCGCTGTCGGTTCCGGTGCCAACGCAGCAACACTCACCAAAGAAGTCCACCTCATTGCCCATGGCCATCAATCCTGCACAGCACAGTCCCCCCGGTGGGAGCAAAATGCACAGCTTTGGGCCGACTACGGCCAACCTGGGAAGCAGTAGCCTGAGCTTGTCGCCGGACTCGCCGTTCCACGAGTCGCAGGATTCCCCGCTGTCGCCAACGACCAGCCTTAAATACCAGCCGAGGGACACTCAGCGACGGGCTGGCCACATCCATGCCGAGCAAAAGCGGCGGTACAACATAAAGAACGGGTTTGACACCCTGCACGCGCTTATCCCGCAGCTTCAGCAGAACCCCAACGCCAAGCTGAGCAAGGCGGCCATGCTGCAGAAGGGAGCGGATCACATAAAGCAACTGCGACAGGAGCGGAATGTCCTAAAGGATAAGATTGAGGCTCTGCGAATGGAGCGGGACGAACTAAACAACTCGCTGACGTATGCTTCTCCGAAAAATTATATTTTTCAAAAAAATTAATATATTATTCTTTTTAAAGGCACCTTCACTCCATATTGCCTGCAAATGGAGCTCCTGTGACGCGGCAGGGCACGGAGCATGTTCGGCAGCTGTACGAGATCTATGTGCGGTACAATACGATGAATGATTGGAAGTTTTGGATTGTAAGTAGGGAAGCGACTATATTGGGAAATAGAGGGTTGCGTTAGAAAAATGATTTGATTCGAAATTACAGTCAGCACAACATTTATTCGGACACTCTCTATGAGCAAGTTTAATGGTTTATTTATTTAAACTTTCGTAATTTTAGCAACTTTTTTTTCTACGTATCATGGAAACAGTTATTTTCTTAATACATTTATATTAAATAATATTTTTTTTTTGTATTACACACGAAAATATGGAAAGGAAAGCGAAAAAACTGCTCAAAATGCTGCACAAAAATTATTCGGACATTTCTTATTTTTCGACTTATATTTCTGAATGCAACGGTAATCGCCGACTTCTTTTGGTACTTTTCTTGGAATTAGTTCAGATCAGGCTTCGGTGTGCTTTTTCTTCAGTTTTTCGGTTACTTTCGGCGCGTCTCTTGATAAGATTAGACAAAATGGGCAGAGGTCAAGATTTATCGCTTGATTTGCGAAAATCTATATTAAAATTACATTTGGAGAATAAAAGTTATCGTGAAATCGGTAGAATTATTGGCAAATCACCTTCCACAATACATAGTGTGATCAAAAAATACCTAAATACTGGAGAATTAGCTGCAAATCACGGGAATTCTGGAAGGCCAAAGATTCTAACACCACGCGAGGAACGAAAAATTGTGTCTACAGTCTTGCAAAATCCAAGAACAACATCTACAATAATTCGGAAGAATGTAGAGGAAGCTACGCAAAAAAAAGTTTGCGGTCAAACCATCCGAAACTGCCTGCACAAGGCCGGATTACATGGTAGAGTTGCTCGTCGAAAACCATATATTTCTGCCATCAACAAAAAAAAACGTTTGGAGTTCGCAAAACTGCATGTTAACCAGCCGGATTCGTTTTGGGAGAACGTTATTTTTAGTGACGAATCGAAATTTAACATTTTCGGACACGACGGCCCTTCGAAAGTATGGAGGAAACCAAATGAAGCCTTGAAAGAGAAGAACTTGATTTCAACTATTAAGCATGGTGGCGGCAATGTAATGGTTTGGGGGTGTGTAGCTGCAGGTGGAGTCGGTCAAATGGTCTTCATTGATGAAAAAATGAACAAAAATATGTACAAGGACATTTTAAGCCAAAATTTGATCCCCAGTGCATTAAAACTTGGTCTCAATCCGAAGTCATTCTTGTTCCAGCAAGACAATGACCCGAAACATTCGTCATATTTGGTGCAAGAGTGGCTGGTATATCACTGTAAACAGCTAAAAACACCACCCCAGTCACCGGATTTAAATCCGATAGAACATGTGTGGGATATTCTGGAGAAAAGAATAAGGAAGCATGTCATTTCGTCGAAGGAGTCCTTAAAAACGGCATTGATGACTGAATGGGACCAAATTGGCGCGAATGAGACCGAAAACTTGGTCAAAAGCATGGGTCGACGCTTACAAGCTGTTATAGATGCTAAGGGAGGACCCACCAAGTACTAAGACCACCCCAACAAAAACTAATATGTTTTTTTTTGGTATATCAATGAAGTGTTCGAATAATTTTTGTGCGTAAAATATTGACTTTTTTTGTTTTTTTGAAGAAATACCTTATGTTAATGTTAAAAATTTCTTCTTTTTTTGTTAAAATAGACTGTAAGAAAGTTGGTCTCCACAATGAAATATAAAATGTTTGTTTACGTTACGTTTTTGTTGAGTTATTAATGAATCAAGTTGAAAATCAGGGGTGTCCGAATAAATGTTGTGCTGACTGTACATTTTAAAAGGTTTAAAAAGTATAATAAACAATTATAATTCAAACTAATTGTTAAATATACATTTTTTAAGCATGAATAGACACATTTTTTCCGCATCTTTATGCATAAAAGAAAAAGAACGTATTACATTGACATACTATAATCTGTTAAAGCTTATTAATTTTTGATTGTATTTCCAGTTGGGTCTCATTCTGGAACCTTTGCTTGCCTCATACACGTCAACAGTCTCGAGTGCTAGTCTGGATGAGCTACGCCGAACCGCCTTCCTCTGGGTCGATCAGCACTGTTCCCTTATTGATCTGCGACCCGGTAAGAAATTCCTTTTCAAAGAGATATGGTGTTTTAATATTCCTTTTACTTTCAGCCGTTACGAATAAATTGAAGTACCTATCTATGCATACGGATATCGTATCGGATCCACCCAGCACATTGCAAGAGGAGGTGGTCAAGGCCCTTCAGAACTCAAGTGGCCAGCATCCCAATCTACATGGCCCCTAACC